AAGAGAAGAGAAGAGAAGAGAAGAGAAGAGAAGAGAAGAGAAGAGAAGAGAAGAGAAGAGAAGAGAAGAGAAGAGAAGAGAAGAGAAGAGAAGAGAAGAGAAGAGAAGAGAAGAGAAGAGAAGAGAAGAGAAGAGAAATACTTGGAGGTCATCTTCCAGGAGATCTGGGAGATCTCCAACTGCTACAGCCCCATGTGTGTCCTTGTTGCCTCTATTGCCACCTCCAGGCTCCTGTGACTCCCAGTCCTCTTCCTACATCTCCCATCCTGCTTTTTCCTCCCTCCTTCCCTCCAGCTGTCCCTCACCCTGTCTCAACTTTTCCCTTTTCAGTGAAATGAACCCTTCCCAGTTATTCTGGGCCATCCCCACCGCTGGCTCTGGCCCTGCTCATGGGGGAGATGAGGGCTGGGTGTCCCCATGGTCTGGTTGAGGTTTTCCTTGCTGCAGGACAGGTGACCTGGGGCCTCACCTCTGGACATTCCAGAAGGAAAGGGGTTGCCACATTCATTGGCAAAGACAAGTGCCAAGCAAGCAGCCACGTTGTGTTCCCCAGCAAAGCAACATTCCATGACTAAACTTTGGAAAACAGGATGTGAGTGAGTTTTTATCTGCACCCAGGAGAAATCCATCACGCCTTCCTGCTCTGAGGCTCTATTAGCTCTCTGGGAAGTAAATGAGTAGAAAACACAATACAGCATTCCAGGGTGGTTCATTCATTTTTCTTTATTAATTTTCTTTCTCAGCACAAGAGGAAAAAAAGGAACATATGGGGAATGATCAGGAGCTATTTCTCAGTGCCATGGCCACCTGAAAAGGGTTTAGAACCATAATGCTGCGAAAATTCATTCACATTTCCCAAATCACGTTAGGCAGGTACAGATTGTTTTCATTTTTATGATTTTTTTTCCCTTCTAAGCTCTATTAAACCAGAATATGCCAAAAATGACAGGAGACAGAATTGCCTTGAAGTCCCAGAGGAGAAGTGTTTGTAACTCACCTAAATGAAAGCATTTCTTTTGAAATAAATTGGGGTTGAAGTTAGCAGAAAAGGTTATAGCAAGACTGAAGCTGTACCAGCACAGACTACAAAAATGAGGCCTGTTTTACTCTCAACATTTGTTGGCATTGGGAGGAAACTGCATCAAACTGCACCAAGTATTGCGGCACTGGAGGCTCTGGCAGAGATTTTGGTGAGATCCCCCACCTAAAGGCATGGACAAGAGCCCTGAGCACCTGGACCTGGCCTCTGAGGGAGATGGGAAGGGGCTGGAGAATTCCTGAGGGAGCTGGGAAAGGGGCTCAGCCTGGAGCAAAGGAGGCTCAGGGGGCCCTTGTGGCTCTGCACAAGTCCCTGGCAGGAGGGGACAGCCGGGGGGGTCGGGCTGTGCTGCCAGGGAACAGGGACAGGAGGAGAGGGAACGGCCTCAGGCTGGGCCAGGGGAGGCTCAGGGTGGACAGCAGCAGGAATTTGCCCATGGAAAGGGAGCTCAGGCCTTGGCAGGGGCTGCCCAGGGAGCTTTGCAGTGCCCATCCCTGGAGGTGCCCAAGGAAGGGCTGGACGTGGCACTCAGGGCTCTGGGCTGGGGACAAGGTGGGCATCGGGCACAGCTGGGACTCCCTGGGCTGGGAGAGCTTTTCCAGCCTTGGGAATTTTGGGATTGTGTGATATTAATGGAGACACCGGGGTCTGAGAGCAGCTGGGGCTCCTGAAGGGTGCAGACCAAGCCGTGCTGCTGCAGCTCCCCGGGAAAGGTCTGGGCAGTGCCCAAAACCCACCGAGGTCAAACGGGAGCTCTCAGCCCCAGCACCCCCCTGAGGGATCTGCCACGCTGGGAACTGCCAGCACATCCCTGATTTCACCTCGGGTGTGAAACCACAATTCATGACAACGAGAGCACTGCGAGGGGTTCCCATCAATCCATACATATCTCTCCAAGGTGTGCCAGAGGATGGGGCCAGACTCTGTTCAGTGGTGCCAGTGACAGGACTTTTTTAGGAATTCCCATTGTGGAACACCTTTGGCTTGGAAATGAGACTTCCTTCAGCTTGGAGTCATCACTGACTTTCGTAGTGTGCTTATTTTTATCCTTGAGAAGTTTTCTTTTTATTGAATACAGTTATTAATTTAAATTATTTTTACAATTGCTACCAGTAGCTCTGAGTCTGAAGTTTTTCCACAGCACCTGCCATGAGGAGGTTGACGGATCTTGACACAGCACACAGCAAGTCAGAAGACCCCATAGGTGGTTGTTCCTTTCCTGAAATGCATTTCTGTAATGTCACTTTGTACGGGTGTCCTGTAATTATTTTGCTTAGAGAATGATGCTGTGCACAAATTTTCTGTCAAAACTTGGAATGTGACTGTTCCCCATGTGAAAACCCATGTGAAAACAATGAATTAACTAAATCATCCCAAGCCATCCAGCATCTGCTCTGCTCTGCCACTGCTAGAGGTGAGACAGGAACTGAGAGCTGCAATGTTGGGGCATCTGGATAAGTTTGCAGAGTCACTTTTCCCTTCTTGTGGAACCTGCCAGGTCGGGCTTGGATTTCGATCATTGCAGTCATTTCTCTTGGTTTGGTGAAGGCAAACAGTCTTGGAAGGAGTTTACAATCAGCTTTAGCCTGGTGGCAGCACCTCAGAGCGCACGGAGAGGACAGTCCGGCACCAAAGCCTCTGGTGCAAGACAGGATGAGCCAGAGGGAGGTCACGGGGCTGAGCTCAGGTCACCGTGGAGCTCTGCCGGTGACGTGAATCAAACTCAGGATCCTCCTCTGGATCTGCTTGGTCCTCACCCCGTAGATGATGGGGTTGAGCACAGCGGGCACCAGGATGTAGATGTTGCCCATGATGATGTGGACCAGTGGGGCCAGGTCCTTCCCAAACCTGTGCACCACAGAGAGCCCGATCAGGGGCACGTAGAAGGCCAGCACCGCGCAGACGTGGGCGATGCAGGTGCTGAACACCTTGAGCCGCTCCCTCCAGGACGCGAGGCGCAGGACGGCCTTGAGGATGAGGACGTAGGAGAGGCAGATGAGGACGGCGTCCAGCCCCATGACCAGCAGGATGGCGGTGAGCCCGTACACCACGCTGGGGGTGGTGTTGGCGCAGGCCAGGTTCATCACGTCCTGGTGCAGGCAGAAGGAGTGGGACAGCACGCGGGGGCCGCAGAAGGGGAGGGGCAGCAGGAGCAGAGGCAGCGGCAGGAAGAAGAGCACCCCTCTGGCCAGGGCCAGCAGCCCGATCTTGGCCGTGGCGCCGTTGGTGAGGACGGCGGCGTGGCGGAGCGGGTGGCAGATGGCCACGTAGCGATCCACAGCCATGGCCAGCAGCACGGTGGACTCGACGGCCGAGAGCGTGTGGATGAGGAACATCTGGAGCAGGCAGGCGGCGAAGCTGATCTCCCTGCTGCCGAACCAGTAGAAGGAGAGGACGCGCGGCACGGTGGCCGTGGCCAGGGCCAGGTCGATGGCGGCCAGCATGCAGAGGAAGAAGTACATGGGCGCGTGCAGGCTGGGCTCGGCGCGCACCACCAGCAGCACCGCGCAGTTCCCCGCCAGCGCCAGGATGTAGGCCGAGCACAGCGGGATGGCCATCCAGGACTGCGCCGCCTCCAGGCCCGGGATGCTGGCCAGGATGAAGGATGGGCTGAGGTCAGAGCTGTTGGAGAAGGGCATGGCCCGCAGCGCCAGGGGAGCTCATGCTATGCCAGGGCACTTCCTGCTGCGAGGGAAACACAAACGGGGACTTTTATAAGCCCTTTCCCATGGCTTGGGATCCCACAGGGCCATTCCTGGGATTCTCAGAGTTGCCACACTGATGCAGAGAGCTCCTCTCCCAGATTTTTACCCCATTATGGCTCTATGCAACAACATACGCGGTGACAAAACGCTGACATTTGAGTTTGAATGGGAATTGCCTGAATTCTCTAAAAGGCAGAACGCTGTAAAATCAACCTTTTGAATAATAAACCCATCAGCTGAACTTGTTTGCTTTTCTTTTTAGAGGACAAAATTAAAAATAATAACAAGAAACCCATCAGATTTTTAGTGCTTTCTGTAAAGCTTCAGTGCTGCTTGATTTTTTCCATATGTGATGTGGTGCCCTGTCAGAAATGTGCTCAGCAAGGCTGAAGCTGGCAGTGCTGCCTCCCACGACCCAGCCCTCCCCAGAACAGCTCACAGGCACAGGCAGACATGGGTCTTTCCAATTTTTTTTGCTTGTGCAAATTGGATTTTCACTCTGTGAAAAACATGCATGGAAAAAACAGAATATTTGTAGAAAAAAAAAATAATCAGATTATTCACCTTATTCTGTATCTGTAGATTTTCCAGGAGTGCTGTGATCCACGGGTAATGGCCTGAAGATACATAAAAGGCTTTGCTTTAGGCACTTTTCTATTTTCAGGCACCAAGCTGGTACCTGTGCTGGAATAAACCCACCATCCCTCCTGCCCTGGGTGGACAGCACAAGGTCAAGCACAACCTGAGCTTTCTGGTTATTCTTTTCATGCCCAGCCTGTGCAAATAAATGATGCAAAGTGGCTTTATGGCGAGCTCTGCAGGTTATTAAAGGAGTTATTTTATAAGTAATGTTGGGTTGTGAAACGTGGGGGTTTTTATCGCACATCTGTGGTGAAGGCCTAAAATAGCATCAGGCTTTATTCTCCTGATGTGGGGCTTTTCCATCTCGGATGTATAACAAGCAGGACTCACCCTGTAGCTTTTTATCCCCGATTTACACACAGTGTGGGAGGACTGTTGCTGTCACCGTGCCCAAAATCTATTCCAGGGATGACGCTGGCAGCCAAGCACTCGCATTAAACACAAATGGAATGAACAAGGAGCCTCAGTAATCACCTGCAGGTACTGAGGCACCTCAGCTGCCAGCCCTGATGGAATTACCTGAGTCTCACTGGAAAGTTTCTGCCCTCCTGATCGTTTCCCTGAGGGAATGGGGTTGTGAGACAGGCACTGAAACGACCCCTGGTGCTTCAGTTCATCTCTAATTCTCTGCCACTGATAAATGTATGCAGGTTTTCATAAGCGGCTCAGGACTTGGGATTGCTGGTGGGCAGAGCAAGTGCTGTGAGGGCCTGGGTTTCTGTAGAGATGGAAACTGGGTCCATGTCTCTGAAACACCAGTAAATGCAGATTTCTTTTCCTAGGGGGATCCAAGCATCAGCCCCAGCAGTAAATCACAGAATCGCTGGGGTTGGAAGCCCAGGATCGTCGAGTCCAACCTTTGACCAATCCCCACCCCATCAAAGAACCATGGAATGGTTTGGGTTGGGAGGAACATTAAAGTTCATCCCAAATCCCAGCCCAGCCATGGCAGGGACACCTCCCACTGTCCCAGGAGCTCCCAATGTCCAGCCTGGCCTTGGGCACTGCCAGGGATCCAGGGACAGCCCCAGCTGCTCTGGCAATTCCATCCCAGCCCCTGCCCACCCTGCCAGGGAACAATTCCTGCCCAAGATCCCATCAAATCCTACTCTGAAGCCATTCCCTGGCTCCTGGCCCTGCAGCCCTTGGCCCCAGTCCCTCTCCAGCTCTCCTGGAGCCCCTTCAGGCCCTGCAAGGGGCTCTGAGCTCTCCCTGGAGCTTCTCCTGTCCAGGTGAGCACCCCCAGCTCTCCCATCTTTCTTCTCCTTTCTCCTTCTCTGCCTTCTCCCTCTTTCCCTTCCCCTTTCTCTCCCCTCCAACCTTTATCTCTCCCTCTTTCATTCCCCCTCCACCCTGCTCTCCAGCTGTGCTGATAAATCCCCCACACTTTGCCCTCCAACTCCCCCACAAACATTTTCTTACTGTAGCAGAGGCTCCTCGGGCTTTTTGTTTCGGAGCCGTTTTGGAGAGCAGCTGCAGCCAGGACACACAGACCTCCAGGGATGAACTCTGGAAGATTTCAGAATGGGAGCAGACTCAGAACCTTCTCAGAATTCTCAATCATCAGTTTCAGAATCCCGTGTGAGGTTGCTGCGAGCCAGGCGTCTCTACAGCAAAGCCCTTTTCTCCTGGAGGTTGCTCCCTTCTGTTATTTTTTCCTGCAAGCTCCAGTTTAGGTCAGAGGGGTTTGAGCAGAGCCCTTTCCTTCCCCAGAGCCAGTGGGAGCTGCTCCCCAGGCTGAGCTCCTGGGGGCTGCTGCTGTTGGGCAAGGGGCCCTGGGACACAGCAAGATAATGAGCAGAGCACAGAGCGAGCAGTGGCCTGGGAATCCTCCCCTCAGGACTTTTCCCTGCCCTCTTTCTGGTTTTTTATGGAGATGTTTCTGCATTATTTCTTCCTCTATTTTTTTCTCTCCAGCTACTGCACATGTGGAGCAGAACAGAAAGTCACTGATCTGGGCTGGTGAAGTGCTCAGTGTCAGGCAAAACCAGGACAGTTTAGGGGTGGGATCCTGTCCTGGTGCCTTTGCTGCTTCATCCTTCCAAAGTAAACACTGACTGTTGCTTCTCATTCTCCACCGTGCTCAGGACTGGTCAAAATGTGGTTTGAGATCAAGAGAACGACGGCTCTGCAGTTTGGAGGAGTGAAACATTCACAGCTGGGTGTGGCACTCTGTGCTCCAGTCTGGGTGACAAGGTGGGGGTCACTCACCGGTCTGGCAGCGCTTTTCCAACCCAGTGGTTCTGTGACTCTGTTCTATGATTCTGGGACATTTCAACCTGTCTGGGGGAGGATGTCAGCCAGAAGAACCATGAAACTTTTCAGCCTCCAGCAGGGCAAGGAGATGCTGGGACATGCTGTCATCTCCCACCTGTGGGTGTCCCTGGAGGTTCCCACCCTGCTGAGGGGCACAGCCAGCACCAGCAGGCCTCAGAGGGAAGGCAGCAGCACGGGGGCCCGAGTGCCAGGAAGTTTAACCATTCCTAAAATGTTTTTGATCTCCCCGTTTTGTTTGCAAGAGAGCTTCCAGCCCCAGCAGAGCCCCAAGCCCATCCAGACACACACCTGCCTCACACGGTCCTGCTCACCTGCAGCACATCCTGAGGATTTTAGGCAGCTCCAACCTAATCTTTCTGCATTATATAGACAGAAAAAAAGGCTTCCTCAAATCTTGTGACCTTTCACAACGAATAGATGATTTTATTGCAGATGCTGCACATACATGACATTCAATGCAGAACAATGACGGGGACACTAACTAGGCTTGGCAAAGGTTAAGGGTTATGTCTTTGGTAAGACTCAAAGACATCCAGAAGAGAAGCACAAGCAGCTGTTTTCTCACTGGGGATGGACACAGGGCTCTGGACACAGGGATGATGGCTGAGCATGTTTCTCAGAAGGGCTGAGACTGCTCTGGGCCCCTCAACAGGGCCTGATGAGAAATGTGCTCTGCTTGGATGTGTCGTTAATCCCGGGGTGTCTGCAGGAAGGGAGAAAGCACCGTGCTAGGACACAACCCCAAAGTGCCCAGCTCTGGGCTCCGGGACAGCATCGCAGTGCCTCTGCAGCATGGATGGAGCACCAAGGGACCAGTCCACCAGCTCTGACCAGGAAACAGACCCAGAGCTCTGACCAAGGACCCAGAGCTCTTACAGACAGCCCAGCCCCTCAGGACAGACACACAGCCCTCAGGACAGACACACAGCCCAATCCCACAGGACAGACACACAGCCCTCAGGACAGACACACAGCCCAGTCCCTCAGGACAGACACACAGCCCTCAGGACAGACACACAGCCCTCAGGACAGACACACAGCCCAGTCCCACAGGACAGACACACAGCCCAGCCCCTCAGGACAGACACACAGCCCTCAGGACAGACACACAGCCCTCAGGACAGCCCAGTCCCTCAGCCCTTCTGGCAGAACCGGAGGAGGAATCTAGCAGTCAGCCCCGCGCTCCCTGCGCAGGGCCCTGAGCAAGGCCTCGCGGATGTGGGTGGATTTCACGCTGTAGATGACGGGGTTGAGAGCGGGGGGAATGATGAGGTAGGTGTAGGCCACCGCGGTGTTAACGAGGGGAGGAACGTCCTTCCCAAAGCGATGGATCATGGACAGGCCGATCATGGGGATGAAGAACACGAGCACGGCACAGATGTGGGAGACACAGGTGTTCAGAGCCTTCAGACACTCCTCCTTGGTGGTGAGGCTGACGACGGTTCTGATGATGAGGATGTAGGACAGCACGATGAAGATGAAGTCCATCCCCACGGTGGATAAGAGAATGATCATCCCGTAGAAGACGTTGACCTTTATGTCTGCGCACGCCAGGTTCATGATGTCGGGGTGGAAGCAGAAGGAGTGGGACAGCTCCGTCCTGCCGCAGTAGGTCAGCCTCCTGAGCAGGAAGGGGACGGGCAGCAGCGACACCGTCCCCCTCAGCACAATGGCCAGGCCAATCTTCAGCACGGTGCTCTTGGTCAGGATGGCCGCGTGTCTCAGGGGGTGGGAGATGGCGATGAAGCGGTCAAAGGCCATGGCCAGCAGCACGGAGGACTCGATGAAGGACAGGATGTGGATGAAATACATCTGGGTGAGGCAGGCGTCGAAGCCAATCCTGCGCACGTTGAACCAGAAGAGGCCCAGGGTGGTGGGCAGGGTGCAGAGAGCCAAGCCCAGGTCAGTGATGGCCAGCATGGACAGGAAGTAGTACATGGGCTCGTGGAGACTTGGGGTCCTCCTGATGATGAACAGGATCACGCAGTTGCCCAGGAGAGCGGTGAGGTAGAGGGCACAGAAAGGGATGGAGACCCAGGCGTGAAGGGCTTCCAGGCCCGGGATGCCCATCATGAGGAAAGCTGCAGGCTGGTGGAAGGAGCCATTGAATTCCCACGGGGTGGGTGAG